ATCAAATCACCAGCTAGCTCGACAGAGAGATTCAATAAAAGCAGAGAGTTATATTGATAGGAACAAGGCAAATGGATAGTTTTGATTTTAGTAGATTATTGACTGCTCAATAGAGGCAAAAAAAAGGCTTCCCAGCAGCACGGCTTAGAGAGCAACTCTTCTTGATGCACCGCGGCCAAACAAGAGGAGTGAAATATGAGACAGGGAGCACTTTGTGGCATGTCTGACAGTCCCATCATCTACGTGAGCAATGGTCCTCCCTGCCGGATGAACCTCTCGCAGCACATATCAAGAAAGATGAGATGTGCTTTCAGCTAAGCCTGAAGGCAGATGTGCTGTGCGGAGAGCAGGGGTGCACCCCCACGGAACTGCCCCGTTACATTTGGGCATCAGAGAAATCCTCCCCATCCCTCAGAAGAGTCCTATTGGCATCGACACAGCTACTCTAAGCCAGTGCAGAACTATATGGCATGCGGGGCGGTTTTTCTCTTCAATCTGTCTCTAAATATAGTATGTGCCCGATACTTACACGACGCTCATAAATCGCCAGTGGTCTGAGTGGCTCACATGCTGCAGCAACACGTCCCGACTGCTCTCTGGCCTGTTTAACGCTGGGAACTGTAAAACTATGGATGCACACATGCTTCCCAGAGGAATCTGGGTCAGGGCAAGAAATCATTTTTGGTTATGGCTCTTTACTGTCCAAATCAGTCAGAGCAGCTAACTCTGCATTCCCCTGTGATCACATTTGGCACACAGATTATTTGCTTATAATCCTGCTGTAAGGGAGGAAGAAATTCAGATGCGAAGCCCAGGCAGCAGGGAGGGGGGCAGGCTACCTGCAAATACATGCCTGGAGGAGGCTCGTGCACACAGGGAAAGCTGGGGAGCTGAGGTCTGAATAAGCAGGTATGAGGCTGAAGGGCAGCAACCTCATCTCCAGCCTCATTCCTGGAGAGGCTGCAAATCTGTATCGTGTTTCTGACCAGACACTGGCCCTTCGTGCGAGGGACCGGCCCGCAAACTGCAGCCTGGCAGAAAGATGTGGGCTGACCTCCAGGCACAGCGGCTCACCCAGCCCCGAACACAAGCAACCAGAACAGAGGAGCAAGGATCAAATCGCTTCGCCCTGGGAGCCGCAAGGAGCTGCAGCATTTAGGGAATATTAAATAAACAAAAATGACAGGGGGTTGCTAAAAGTATCTCTCTGAGAGCCTGAAACTCTGCAGATGGGGTCAGAAGTGATGCGGAGCCATCTAGCGCATCAAAGAGGCTTAATTGAAGCACTAGCAGGCTGAAAAGCTGGGAAGTGAGTGCGGAGTGTGAGGGGTATGTCAGTGCTTGCTGCTTAATTTTTGCCAATTAGCACTCAGCCAAGGAAGCAGGGAACCCTAAGCACAAAATAACAAGGGTGTGAGCTCAAGTGTGAATGGGTACAAGCAGGAACAGAGAGAGACTTTCAGCAGCATCTCCGTCAATATTCAGGAGGGGAAAAACACCATGAAATTATTTCTTCTGCATTACGGGAAAGGAAGGAAATCTTTCGGTACAAACACGCTAATGGGCTACGCGGGGATCTGAAGGAGGATTGCTGAGGTATTAGAGCAGACTGCATTAGGAAGAAAAGAGCAAGAGAAGAAACAGGATTTTCAGGGAGATTTCGTCCAAATCGATTAAGTGGGAAATGTAAAGGGGCAGCTTTCCACAGGGATGGAGCTGGTAATTGGCCCACGCAAGTCCCAACAGAGAAAAGCACTCAAAGGGCATGCTGGGAGGTGAGCACGTGGCTGATGTTTCCTTCTCTCAGAGGCCAAAAGAGACCACAGAGAGGAAAGTTTCTCTTATGTTAATCCTCTGCACAAATCTACGAAGCCTCCCTTACCTTGCTGTAAATCACTGCTACTGCAATGCCCGTAAAACACCAGCCGTGCCCAAGCAGCGGGCGCAGCAGGACCAAAGCGGAGCGCAGCGATCGGATAGCGGGTACCACTGCTCCCCTGCACAGGCCCCTGTGTGCTTTGTGTTGCTTCACCTGTTGTCTCCAGCTGAGCTCTTCGGGATGGAAACTATCTCTGTGTTCCAAATGTGGTACAGGACGAGGGGTCAAGTCCCCACGGTGGGGTGAATTCACAGCGTGATGACAAAACACCGCACATGAGCTCTCTGCAGACAAGGGACGCTGCACACACAATGCATGAATATAGTCAGGAAAACGTGGGTCCAGAGGGGAACGGGCAGCACAGCAAAGCATCAGATAGAGATTGTCACTCAAATTCTGTGTATTTCTCTTGCACCGAGTTATTTCTGATTTCTTCCTCCAGAAAAACAAACACCACTTGTCCTGCTTTTACATTTCTTCTTTTTTTTTTTTTAGTAAAGAAATGAAAAACTCAAGGCATGAAAGGAAAAAAACATCTAAAATGACCTAATCCAGATTTTTTAAATGCATTATTAAAAAAAAAAAAAGTGTGTGCAGTAGGGAAGGTTCATTAAATGCAGCTCCTGACTGCTCTCAGCTCTCATCAGTGAACTGACTCTAGAATAAAGCGGGACAGAGGTGAGGAAGCTGCAACTCTGGCTTCATCGGTCTCTATGTGTAACGCTGGCTCAGTTTACAGCTTAAAGTCTGGATAAGATTAAAATCGTGAGCCTAAAGTAGAGGGGAAAAAATCCCTATATCTTGCTCATTTTCAATACAAGCATGCTCTGAAAAAGTGCGTAACAGACTGGGTAGGAGTCAGCTCCCACTGCTTCTGTCCCACGTTGATCTGCAGAACCAGCATCTCATATAGGGGGGCTGGACCCGATGAGCTCTTGGGGTCCCTTCCAACCCCTACAGTTCTGTGATCCTGTGATCTCTTATGTGAATACAGCAGCAGGTCAGTGGGGAGCCCAAACCTGTGTACACTCAGCTCACTGCCGTCATGCAGAGTTGCAAGGTCTCTGCGAGGGTGGTGTCAGGATTAGGGTTTTATTTTGGCAGCTCTGGCTCTGAAATCTCCCAGGGCTGACTGTGGAAGAAAGTACTATTTTTACATGCACTATTTTGGGTTGTTTTTTTTCTGTCAAGTATTCACAAAATAGGTGATAAAAGGTTTTTAAATGATTAATAGGTACCTTAATGAATAACTAATCGATGCTTACAGATTAGTATAAAGCCCGAACAGTCAATAGGTTGCTTATAATATTCCACAATACCTTTTCTAGACATGCTTATAGTCACCTGTTAAATTATGCTTCTCATGTTTATACTGCCTATTAATCATTTATTAATCCTTTATAAGCTATTTGGGAATGAAAGCATCATATAAACCCTGAGATACTTTTCCTTCTGCCATCCACAATCACCACACTTGCTGGGGGCTTAGGGAAGTATCAGTCAAAAAAAGACAGGACTTGAGCCAAAACCTAAGTCTTTGCAACACTGCTGGACTCTGAGTAATTTGTCACCTTCTGCAGGATTTCAGATGAGACCGGGGATGGCAAGGCAGCAGATAGCTTAGTGGTTCAGATGATGCCAAAGTGGTGTTCAGGAAAGATGAAATAGTCACGCACACAAAAGCGCCAGAAAGAAAATCCTCACAGAGAGAGAAGAAGGAATTAACTTCAAGACTTAAAGCAAGGAAAGAAAAAAAAAAAATCATATCTGTAAGGACAGAGGATTGAAGCAAATGGACGATAGGCAGGTAAAAATAATAATAACCCCAAATCATTCCAAGTAATCACACAAAGCAAGGAAGAGAAAGCTGACACAAAGCAAGGAAAAGAAAAGGAATTGATAACACAACAGTCACGTATTTCTCCCTGCAGATAGGACCAATTTTAAAAAACATATATATGCATTCTCAAGAGCTCACCAGGTTCACTGGAGCCTCTGCTGTGTCACTAGATACCCAGGGCTAACAGCTGCAGGCTGCCATTAAATTCGCTTTTCAATTACTGACAACTCCAGTGACTTACAAGAACCAATTTTTAACCACTTCCAGTGCAAAGCTCTACACAGCGTGCTCCAACAGGATTCATCTCAACCCTTCCCAGTCTGCTCATTCTGCAGATGCTCCCTGCAGGAGCAAGCACGGCTCTGAGCCAGGCAGAGGCTGCTCCCCCTCACAGCCCTGAGGCCAGGGGCTGCAGGCTGGGGCTGGAGATTCATCCAAAGAGTGCTTTGAGCAGGGTCTGGTTGTGAAAGTGCCCAGCCTGGCCTCTTTCTGCCTGAGGACAGCCATCCCCTGCTGGCTGTTTCTTGTGCTGGCTTTGTACAGCACCTAGTGCCTGACCCCACTGAGCTGGGGCCACCCAGTGCAACCGGGAGGATTAAAGGAGCCTCAGGAAAGGCAGCGGCACAGAAAAATCAGCTGATGGGCAGGAAAAGGTATTGAACCTGGCTGCATGTGGCTCCTCGTCTGCAGATCTTCCAGGGTCTAATAATGTGCTTGAGCTCCACAGCCCGCCAGTTCTTCAGCAGAACTCTAATTTAGCTCTTTCTCTTCTGCCCGTTTTCACCGGACACGTAGGGATTTCTCTTCAGCCCCCAAATTTGTTTGAACAACAGCATGTCTAACAGTGTGTACACGTGGGGTGTGCCACGCAGACACAGAAGAACACGAAGTTGATTGAAACCCTTCCTTTCCTTTGGGCAAACCCTCCAGCCGCGGGGACCTGTTCCACCCTCTTAGGCCAGGGCTCTCAAAGCACTGCAAGCGGCCACCAAATCCTCCTATTTCCCGCTGGGCAGCAGAGGAGATTCCTTGAGTGCATGCGGTGTGCCACTCACTCCTTCCTGCTGCAGGAGATGCCCTGATTGACGTGCATTAATTTCATTCCTTCGTTTCGTGCCCCGCTCCCCTCAATGCCCCTGGCTGTGTTGAGGTGTTGTGTCACCTGCTGGAGGCATCTGCTTGCGGCAGCACGTCATGTGAGCAGGGAAGGGAACGTGAGCGAGTCTAAATTAAAAAAAATAAAATAAAAATATAAATAAAAAAACACAATCCTCCTGATCAGTATGCCTGTCATTTTAGCAGCATTAAATACATTAAAATGGGATCTGCACACCAGCTTAATTAAATGAGCCAATTGAAAGTTCCTGCCAAGTATTAGTTTAAGGTAGAAAATACACTTATTTTGGAGCTTATGCAGATTGAATTTGTAGGGTCTTGTGGGAAATGCTAAGCATTTTTTCTTTTGGAAGACTCACTGTTTGCAAATTTATTGCGGTGATCTGAATTTTGTTTCATTACGAGTGTCAAGCACAATCACAGATAGAAGAAGTCTCTTGGCTGGTTCCCAGGTTACAATATCCCTTCTAAATTGATCTGTTCTTCAAAAGTACTGCTGAAATGTATCCAACTAGCTGTGCCCAGGGGCAGATGACTCACATTTGCCCACTGAAGAGGCATTTCAAGCCCTGAAAACAGAGCAATTACGGTATTAAACCTGAGAAGATATTTCGTGTCCGGTATCATTGTTTGATCTTAGCTCTTACTTGGTGATGTGGGGCCAGCTGCAATGTGATTACTGAAATGGAGAGCCTGGAACATGTAGCAAAGCTTATAATTTATTCCGTGCCTTTCTGATCCATGTAACACTGCAATCAAGAATTAGTTGAATAGCAGAACAATTGATTTGAAACTATTTCAGTAAATCAAACTGCCAATTTCAGCCCGCTGTCTATCTTACCCAGTGATGCATCACCTCACTGGCAGTTGTCTGGAGGCGCGGCAGTAGCAGAGGCTGCCTTGGCTGGGCTTAAAATTTGGGAGAAAAGGTGCAGACCTGTGCAATAGGGGCACCAAGCAAGCCTTTGGCAGACGTGTTTTTTTAGCCGAGCTAAGTCTTTTACTCTAACAAAAAGAAACAACTTTACCTCTGTGTTTTCTTACTGAAACATTTATTTGACCCAGAATGGAGCTGGTTATTATTTTTCAATGATAGATTTTAAGATCTGCGTGTGGTTTCTTAACAGGAAATTTAACAAGCCTTTAAATATAAAAGTTGTTCCAAACTGATGAGTGGAAATGTTTCACTTCAAAAATATCAGATGCTTTCATTTTATTTTTCGTATGTTTCATTTCCACCGGGCTCTGGAAAGAATAATTTGGGGTTTTCAACATGGATTCAAGTATCTTACTAGAGTCCTCATCTCGTGCATACAGCTGATGGCATTATTCTCAACTTTCAGTATTTTGATCAAATTTCCAAACTGGGAGGCTGAGAGTTGGAAATCAATGAAAAAAATCCCTTTGGTGCTTTCTCTCCCCCTCGTGTGCTATCCCTGTTGCTGAGAGCCGCGAGAGTGCTGCAGGCTGAAGTCTCCACCAATATCCGTGCTCATCTCGATGGATGCTTAAGAGGTCCGCACTGAGCTCCAGATGTCCTCAGAGCAGCCCTGCGGGCACGCAGATCACAGCAAGTGCTGGGCTGAGGGTCACTGCACTCCGTTTGCTGTCCCTCAGGCAGACATCGCACTGGGGCATGGCCAGCTCCGAGATCTTGCTGCCTTTGAGCAAACCTCAGGTGCAGCAACCAAGGAAAATCTTTTCCTACATGAATTGTTCGAAACACTTCATTCGATTCTCTCCAAGAGTAAAAGACATCAGGCAGATCCCAAATTACATCAGGAAGATCCCCAAATGAAGTCAAACTGCCACAAAGTTCAATTGAGACATAACCAGATCTCATCAGCACTTGGGTGTTAGCCTAGGAAGCCGAGATGCTGCAGGGAACAGCATTACAGGAAATTTGCCTTTTACTTACAGATGGAGAAGCTGAGTCGCTTCTCATAACTGTATGAATGAGACACCATTTCCTCTATGAATGAGATACTTAAACTGCCAGTAAGACCCACATCCTTTTGGTTTAATTCTAGACTCTGAGCAGCGCTGCCCAGACATTACAGATGACGCAGCAGATGCTCTCTTCTGCTGTCATTTGCCCTTGAAACTCCAGGCTGTTGCTCCCTAACTCTTCGCTTCCACCCCACACGTGGTTTTGTGACATGCTCTTAGGCCAGCACTGATCCTGCTGAAGTCAGTGCCTGTGGATGTCCCAGCACCACACGGCCCCATCGGTCTCACCTGTGGGAGCCAGGGGGAAGCAGATGTCAGCCACGCCGTGCTGCCAGCGGGGTGTGCGCTGCTCGTGCAGGGCTGGCTCTGCCAGGGACAAGCCCCCTCCACAAGGCACACGCTGTCCAGCCGCCTCCCCACAGCTCACCCAAACCTTCACACCACGGCTGGACAAGTGGCTCTCTACTTCTTTTGCTCTCTGTCTTCCAGTGATCTGTCAGATGTACAGACATCCCATCCATTCACGCCGCAGGACGCACTTTAAAAGGAAGCTTTAAGAAGCTCCACCTGTGCCCTCCCCCTGTCCCTATCTCCTCAACCATTCATCTCTTCTCCCCAACTGCAGGGGAGTTATCAGGCTAAACACAGGTTTCTCCAGGGTAAACGTTTACCCTGCTGCAGGCGCCTCGGGCGTCACAAAAGCACCTGTCTTTGCTAACGGAGGGTGATTGCTCTCTTCTGAAGTGGGCGTCTGCAGCAGGGCACATGAATCAGCCCCTCGCAGTGCCCGTTTTTCTCTCTGGCACGCACAGGGAGCGTGAGCAGCTGGATCAGAGGGAGATGGTGAGTGCGGCTGCCTGAGGTTGTGTGTGATGTGTCCCACAGCCACCCCTACCCGCTCCCACTTCTCTGTGTGCCACCGTCTGCCTGGCAAGAAGCGACTGGGCACTGTCTTGGAAGACAAAATCCGACGGCATCGCAGAGAAGCTCTTCTGGACAAGAAGCTCCTCGGGCCCCTCTTGGGACAGGGAAGGCACATGGAGCCTGCCCCTCGCTGCCTCTGGGAAATGGACATCCTGGAGAGCTGCACACAGCCTCTAGACACGGGGTGCTCTGTACTGCTTTATCCCTTAGATACAATAACCCGAGGGCTCACCCTGCTCCAGCCACACCAGAGGAGTGTGCCCCACAAGTCTGACAAGCCTGGCCTTGCATTACCGGGACAGCCAGCAGGGAAATGGTGGGCGGGAGGAAGATCAGTGAGTGAAGAAGGTTATGCAAAAGAAACCCAGAGTAAGCACAGCGAAATCCCATATCTGTGCCTTTCCTCTCTGATCTTCACCTCCCAGGTCTCTGTCAATCCTTCCCTCCCTTCCTTGCTCCTCTTTTCCCTGCCTACACCCCGTTAGAGACAGACCCTCGCAGTGCTGGGAGGGGAGTTCTCTTTACTCCGTTGTCTGCTCAACCCTCAAGGGAAAAGGCAACTTCAAGGGAAGTGTAAAACCAGAAGTGGCTCCCTTGATCCCACGTCTGCTGTCTGGGTTTAGTCCTCCAACCAGCTCAGCACATTTCTTTTAACTACTTACTGCTGATAAATGGTTTCTCTGCTTGCCACGGGTGAGTGAACACCAACCGCTCGTTCCAGGCCCAAAGAAAACGTGCAGAGAAACCCTAAGATTGTGTACTGACCTTTCCGACAATATGCATGCCGGTAAATACCAGCCAGCCTCTCGAATATTAAACAAGCCACAGCCAGCCCTGCATTTCCTATTACCCCAAAGTCCTTCAGACTGCATTTTTAGTCCAGCCGTGCATCTGTAATGACCTGCCTTATCTTCACTCCTCTCCCGTGCTGGAGGGGCTGCCCAGCCCTGCTGCAGTCCCTTTCTGAACTGCCTCCTGCTACGAGCGGGGCCAGTCCCACAGAAGGGAACAGCACGGAAGAGCCACCAGCAGCAGAACCCTTGGGAGACACCGTCCGTACCGTGCAGGATCACTGAGCACGGTGCAGTTGTTGAAGACGTGCCCTAAAGGGCCAGGACTCTGCTCTCTGTCCTGGAGAACCCTGTAATTGCTGCCCCAAATCCTCCCTGCATTTTCCCATAGTTACCTCGGAGAATTCTGTTCATATGGACTCCAGAGCGTCACATGGAGGGGAACTTCACAATTCCCCAACCCTTACACTAGAAGAGCTTTTGACAGCCCTCCCATGCCTGAGCTGTTCCCTTCATTGCGGAGTCACAGTCCACCCCCGGCCATCTGCAGGTGCCTTGCAGAGAGCCGTTTCTAGCCCTGCCTGCTCCCTCTGCTGTGGGCGCACGGTGTCCGTGCCATGGCCTGACGCTCACAAACCACGTCTGTTCAGAGAAGAGCTGGCACTGCTTTCTGCTGCAGCTTGTAAAGTCTTGTTAGCCTTTTTTCTCGGCGCACGCTGATTCTGTAATTTTTTTGCAATCGGGTAGGCTGGCAAACAGAGCTACCAGAAATATTAACCTCTGCTTTAAGAGCAGCTGGTCCTGGGCTGAGGAGGAAGAGGCTGAGCAAGGATTTTGCCAGCCACAGAGCTGGGCCACGCAGCAGGCTCCCGGGAAAAACAAAAGCAAACACAACTCCCAGCGCCCAGCACAGCTCTCAGCCACAGACCTCCACTCGTCAATTAGATTTCCTCCACCGATTTGTACGGGGAAAGACGGAGAGGAAATGCCAGATGCTGCTGGGCACGCAGAACAGATTCGGTGTGTGTGTTTAAAGCACTAATAACTCCCTTCCTGCCGAAAGAGGGAGAAGACTTTCTCTTAATCCTTCCTTGCATCAGTAATCAGAGAGAGGAGCAGATGGTGCCAGAAGTACAGTAATATGCCCATTAAAATAACCTCACTTGCTGATGAGTTAGCACCAGAGCCCATGCGGCAAGCACCTTTATGAGAGCCCTGCTCCAGCAGAAAGCAGCGGCTCCTGCGATGCGATGGGGGAAAGGAGAACTCGCTAGGAAGGACCCAGCCAAATTTCACCAGGAAGGCCACAGCTATCACCCATAAACTCCTCGCTAGCAGATGTGCTCGGCAGGATTTGTCCTGCAGGCACATGGAAACAAGGCGTGTGTCCCATTCTCCCCCCACACCGACACCTGCCTGTGATCTGGTGACACTTCGGGGCCAGCTGAGGGCTCCCAGCTGAGCAGTGAGCGGCTCCAGCACTGCTGCTGGGCTTTCTGGAGTCCATTCATCCCCCAGGAGGAACAAGCAGATGGAGAAGATGCTTTCCAGTGATGGATTTCTCTTCTACAATTCCCAGCATAAGGTCAGTACATAAGCAACTCTCTTTCAATCAGACACAAGTTGTGCCTTTCATTTCACAGTGGGTTTACAAGTTTTTGTTCTACCGTATCTGCCCGGGGATGGTAATCTTCTAAGTGGGCCATCTGAGCAGTTTCCTGCAACTTTTCTGTGGCATTCACGAAAAAAAGTAGACGTGTGAGCCATCACCACATGGCTGACATTTAGGTTTGCATGGCCAACCTCTCTGCTCCTGGCCACAGTGGTGAAAACCACTTGCTATTCAAGGTCTTCATTTACAGCGGGACTGCTGCCATCTCCCAGACCAGTATCTGAAAAGCAGTGTCCTACAGCCCAGGTAACGGCCTGCATTCCTCTTTCTCTATCTCTGACCTCATAAATCTTCCCAGCAAGGTTTCCATCCCAATAGATGTGCTTCCACAAACATTTATGCCAAGTCACACTTATGCCAAGCAGTCTTTCAACAGAAAAGGACTGCATCCAAAATGTTGCATCAGCTCCGGCTCCATGCCTCTAGAAGGGTGAACCTTTCTTTATCATTAATTAACTCTTTATATGACATGACATTTATTTCATTATCTCACTGAATGTCACTGTCCAATTAGCTCATCCCCAAGGAATGAGACCTAATTAACCAAGATAAGCAAACTGAACTTTCGCAACCTCCCTCCCTTACAAGCAAGTTGCCAGCATGTAAGTACTCAGCAGTAACGCCCTCGTTAAGGCTTGACTAAAGACTCCTTCTCCTTTCCTTGGCTTTACTCATAAAGAATTTTCTAACTCATCTATTTCCATTTTGCTTGGCACAAAGTCTCAGAAATCCATAGGGTCAAATCATGCTTCCTTCCAGCATCAGCTGTACGGACGTGGTCATAAATAACGATACCTCTCCCTCGGCAGCTAATGGACACTGATTTGCACTTAGGCAAAGGAAGACTTCCACTGGCAGAAGAAAAGGAGTGCTGGCCCAAATCTGTGTTTATAACCCAGGTGATGCCCCGCTCGCCTGCTGGATACACTCACAGCCACTTCACTTCCCTGACCAGCTGAATTCAGCTACGAAATAAAAAGCAAGAGGTTTCCATGCAGCTCACGGCCTGTCCCCTGACAGCCTAATTTGGCTGAGCATGTTAGAAATCGGAAAATATCCCTCCTTTCTCTCATTATGGCTTTCCCAGTTGCATTTTTTAGCTTTTTGAGTAGCGAAGGACCCCCTTTGCCCTCACTGAGCAACAGAAGGTCGGGAGCAGAGCCGTGTCCCTACCAGCTGACGCAGCCCTGCTCAGAGGCGTGCTGTCGGACACGTAACTGGAGGCCACCCTGGCATGACCACCCATGCGATTACAGAGGATGGAGGGAAGATGAATAACTCTCCCCGAGTTGATGCAATGCTCAGGCCTTCATTTGTGAACAGGTTCTTTCCTTTGGTTTTATTTTTTATTTTTTCTTCCCTCAGGTAGCATGCTCAGAGCTATATTTTACACGGTACCTGATTTGAAACACAGAGATGAAGGGTCGTGAGATGAAAGGGAAGCATTAATCTCGCTTGTTCCCTCAGCATCTCAATAAATTTCATCCCCTGATTGCTTTTGCTCTTGGCTAGAGGTCAGCGTTTTCAGGGAGGAAGCCTCCCAAAAAAGACATTGTACTGGTACAGGAGCACGAACACCCCACAGCCCAAACCTGCATCCTGTCTGCTAGCACAAGGGTTTTTCCTTGCCAGTGCAGAGACCTGTGGGTGACATCCCACAGGCTTTGGAGCAAGCCTCCTACAAATCGAGGCTGCAGATCCCAAATCTCTCCTTATCACGTTTGGCTTTACAGGGAACTGGACTTTTAAGCAGCTTTGCCATGAGCCATCTGAAACCGGCTGCTGCGGGATGAGGAGGATCCCAGGAGGCATCTCTGAGCAGCTCAGGCACGGCACAGCTCAGAGCAGCCACTGAGCACTGCAGGAATCCCCTCCTGATGCGACGCGAGGCAGCCTGGAGCCATCACATAAACACATGGACAGAGCGGTCACAGAAGCACAATCACAGAATCACAGAATTTCTAGGTTGGAAGAGACCTCAAGACCATCGAGTCCAACCTCTAACCTAACACTAACCAGTCCTCCACTAAACCACATCCCTAAGCTCTACATCTAAACGTCTTTTAAAGACCTCCAGGGATGGTGACTCCACCACTTCCCTGGGCAGCCTGTTCCAGTGCCTCACAACCCTTTCAGTAAAGAAGCTCTTCCTAACATCCAACCTAAACCTCCACTGGTGCAACTTTAGCCCATTCCCCCTCGTCCTGTCACCAGGCACATGGGAGAACAGGCCAACCCCCACCTCGCTACAGCCTCCTTTAAGGTATCTGTAGAGAGCGATAAGGTCACCCCTGAGCCTCCTCTTCTCCAGGCTGAACAAGCCCAGCTCCCTCAGCCGC